TACTTAATATGAAACAGTGGCATGCACGGAGATGTCTGAGTCTTACACAGTGTGAGCATTTGTACCACTTCAGGCATCCTCAGTCAAGATTTATTAAAATATTATCTTGATTTGGAGATCACTGCTTTTACTTGTGTGCAGAGTGAAGAAGCATATGCTATATGAGTAACCCATAGTGTTTGGCTTAAAGGCAAAATAAAAGTCAGCAATAAATAAACAGTAAAAAACAGACTGCTGGGAGATGGAAAGACTCACAGTCTTTCCTGTCTTTAGTTTCCTAATTCTGTAAACCCTTATATTCACAAATAACTTTTATTTTAAAAAGGCAAGTACTTAAATTACAGCATCTTCAGATATTTTTAAAACCCATTAATTACCATCTAACACCCTTTCTGAGGTGAGTTTCTTTATTCTATTCCATACAAGGGAATGACGAGACATAAAGGAATTAAAGTGATAGTTTTGGCAGACCTGTACAGAAACCAAGGGAAACACATTGCACATCTGCTTGTGAGAACACACATTTAAAGCAGGCACCTGCATTTTTTAGGTGCAAACACCTTCAGCATACAAACAATTCCACACCAAGCTCATGCACACCTGTCCCAGAGTGTGCACCCAGAAAACTTGTTAGAACAAAGGAATCTGTAGCCATGAGCATGTGTATGGGAGTGCAGGTGTTTGGGTATTTCAATCCAGAGTACATGAACAGATGTTTGCATCATATTGAAATTTTCACTATAGTCAGAACTCTGCAGCTCTGCTGTTCCACCCTTATCAGTCTGTATTTCTCATATTCCAGACGGCCTTGTCTCACACTGCTTTTCAGGGTACAACTTCCATGTGTTTTGGCTCTAGCCCCTTATCCTGTTGCAAGGGAAAATAAAAGTCCCCAGCCTATCTATATATCTGTTCTTAGGCAGAAAATATCTCACTTTCTGAGTTATTCTAGATAAAACATTTTCTAGATAAAACATTTTTCTCATTAGGGCTTTGCGCTCTTTCCCGTCCCTCTGCATTTCACTATTGCAAAGATCTGGGCGTTTATGAAGTATCGGTTCCATGATCAAGGAGTAGATTCAAAAACTGGGACAAGTAAGAGAAAGGTGGATGCACCACTCAGAGATGAGGACAGCTGGTTCCAGGAGGCAGGTTAAGGTGCTGTGAAATCACACTTTGTCAAGTGGGAGAGACCAGGATTCAGGGCTGTGGGACATGACCAGTGGAGCACCAGGCTTTTCTGAATCCCTGTGCTGCAAGGGCACACTGTCAGCTTGGTCTTCATGTTTCCCCCCCTCCTTGTTTTCCTTTTCTCAGTTACACATCGTTTACAGCAAAGTCCCCTAAAATCTGGAACAGAGCAGATGCAATCAGAAGTGCTCGCACTGCTGGTCATGGGGACATCTCATAGAGCTGCCACAGAGCCTTGCTCTGTTCAGCCTCTGCTGCTGTCCTGTGGCTCTTTGGCTTCCTGCTGTGGAGTTGCCTCAGTGCAGAAAAGTTTGGGCAAATGAGGAACTGCTCTGTAATTCAAACCCTGCATCTGCATCCAAAGAGAGGAAAATAAACCACAAAGTTGTCTGTGCAGTTGTCCAGTTACTGGACCTGAGCAGTTGGTAGTCCATGTTAGTCCCATGAATGGGATTTTAAGTAATGGAAAAGAAACAACTTCAAGGAATTATTGGAGTAGGAAAAAAACCCACCATCCTGTGGTTCACTTTCTCTGCTCAGGTGTGATCTCTTCCTAATGCTAGGGAACATCCTCAGATCACAGCCTGCCCTCCCTTGAGTCTCCCTCACAGAACTGGTATTGAGCAGCCACTCTTGGGTCCATCCTCTTCCTTCTATTCTTTACACTTTCAGCTCTTGACACAAATTTATGTTAGAAATTACCAAAGGTCACTGGTTGCCAAGAGCAAGGCCCTCACCAAAGGTTTCCCACCATTATAAGCCTCTGTCCTCTTCCTACATGCCCTTATACTTCCCTGGATGGTATTTCTCCCATTTTTCTGTGGAATACTTAGAAAACTTCATTAAGAACAAAAAGAATGGGTGCCCATAGAAAAATAACAAGTTTCAACAACTCTACGTGTCTCCATAATGAAAAAGTTGCATCCTAAAATCAGGTGATACAGTTATAATTTGTAAAAGAAGTTACTATTTTCTTTAAAATTGTTTGAGCATTATTCATTGATTTTTGAACAAGAGGGAAGCCTTGTGTTTATCAAGTAGTGCCTTATGCTAATTTCATTCCATGCACATGGCAGATAGAGAGCTGACTTCCTTCAGAAACCAAGGTAAAAGGAGAGGAAGCAACAAGTCCTAATTTGTCTAAACTATAAGTCCTCATTAGCAGCAGATCATGAGTAAAGTTGAATTTTACTTGTGTTTGCTTATAATCCTTGAAAACTTGTCCCCCATTTGTGCTGTTGTAAAACCCTGGTGAATCACCTTTCAGTCACTGCCCTAAATAATCCATTTAACCCATTCTTCTTAACCTACCCTCTTTCAAATAAAATCACAAAAGAAAATTTCTAGTAAAAAACCCTGGCAAAGAGAAGTGCACATGCAAGTTGTCTCTATTCGTTCCTGAAAGTAAATACAAATATTGACTGAATGATCAAATGAGACAGATTTTTTTCTTTTCTTACTGAACACAAAAGGTTAACTTGGGTCACTTTGGAATACTCTTTATATTCTGTTGACATAAACCAATAAGACATGCTCTACTTTCCATTTTCTTTACCAGTATATTTCCATGCGGAATCAGGTTCAGACTAATTGAATTCCAGATTTAAAAAAAAAAAATTTATGGAAAAACTCCCCTTTAATTTACTCACAGACACTCAGTTATGGAAATATTCTGTCAGTGACCATGTACACCCTGTGCCTTTTGAGTTAGTCGTGTTTAAAGCAGAAAGGCCTATTTGAGAGCACTGTTTGTGCTCTTAATTTCCACACTGCTCCTATTGACAACCTCAATCCGTGTGTGCGACTCCAATTGGGTTGTGAAATTAATATGGCTGTTTGCGTACATCAAGGGCAACCTGCACTCCTTTGAAAGCAAGGGCATTGCAATTATGGGTAGTAAGAGCCTACAAGCTTATAGTGCCATCTGTACTATCCAACACTTCCACCCATCCCTACTTGTATTGCTAACTTTGTGTTTCACAGCCTCTGAAAAAAAAAACAAACCACCAAAGAACAACAGATACGCTTATACAGGCAAAATATTTTGAATCTCACTCCACTAGTCAACACATCTATTTAATCTGTTCTAATGATTTTTATCTTGCTGAGAATTACTCTTCATTAATCTCCTCTATGGAAAATAGATCCAGAGATCTCCATTGCAGTGAATGTAAGGACTGAAACCTTTGTGTAAAAGAGCTACTGCAGGTTTGTGCAGCACCTGATCCTCACTGAGACTGGCTTCTCCTGCTCCAAGATCAGTTGAATTTCTTGGGAGTATGGCAGGACCTCTGCTGTTTGTGGGTGAATAGAGTATGAGTGTATTTCATGTGCAAAGTGTGTGTTTGAACACATACAAAGAAATCGAACACCCAAAATGAGCTCTGTAATTATTACCTGCAGCACTTGCGAAAGAGGTTCCTAGTCACACTCATGGAAATAACAAAGATATTATCAGTCCAAACCATGCTGTTATGTACCAGAATATTTGTCTTCAAATGTCAATGAAGAAACAACTCTATTCACCCTAAAATAATATTTAAATATTAATCAGTGTGAGTGACCACATCTGAGGGAGAGGGATGCTTCAAGCAGCACAGTGAGATTCTTTTCACTCTGGGATTAAAGCATGGGAACATTTTAATAAACCAAAAATGTTACCTTTTTTCTCTCATATGAAGTTTAGGAAAGCAAATATCTATTTCCTTTTTTTGTAAAAAGTTTTGGATTGTTTGTACGGAAACTACAGGGATCTTTGCAGCAAAAAGTTTCAGAATATTCTTTTATTTTCATCTCCATTTGCACTATACTCCCAATATAGTGAGGGACTTGCCAAAAGTATAAAGGCCAGACTGCTAGAAGCCATCGCAAGCATCCCAGTACATTTAAAGATCCAGCGCTGGTGTTTAAACTGGAGTACAGGATTAGGTTCAAATCGAAATGTTAGATCTTTCAGGTAGTCACTATTTTCTCTGGTTTTAAACACAGTTTTGACACCTTCTGATCTCAGTTCAGCATGCAAAATTAAATGATGGTTAGTGGGAGCACAAAGACCCCTCAGGTACAGCTCAGACTGAGCTTGGAAGTTCTCCTGTTCATCCTTCACCACACAGACCCTCCAGATCGTGCAGTTACTGGCTTTCCCAACTATCACAATGATTTCACAACCAGGGGCATGATGAGCTCTGGAAATCAGACATGGGGATCACTAGCAGGAATGAGCTGGCCCTTAAGGGGACAAAGCTGTGCCCTTCCTCCTGGTGACACAGATACCTACACAACAACCTCCTCCCGGCCAACGCCGAGCGAAGACCTCGCGTCTCCAGCTCCTGGCTCAGTGGGCAGCACTAAACAAAGTTTTTTTGGATAAACGGGCTTTTCTCTCCAGCCTTTCCTCAGACTGTCCCACAGCTACACTGTCGTGTCACAACAGATGTGGAAGTTTCTGAAGAGAAGAGGGTTGAACAAGGGTTAACATGGCGCTTTCTCCTCTTACTAAAATGATGTCATTTCCCTCCCCCTCCCCGAAAGTATCTGTTGCTTGGTTGTTTACATACTGAATTTAAAATCTATATTATAGACCTGTGTGACTTAAAATGGAATGAGTTCTCATACCTGAAGACATTTGTACAAATTTAATTTCAACTTCCAGTGCTTCACTGTTATTAAAAAATATTTGATTTTACCTGCAAATTGCCCATTTTCCCCATTTTCTATACTTTCTCCACAAAAATAAAGACTGAGAAAACGGAAGTACTGATACACTGTAGAAATTGTCCCAATGAGTTTATAATCCAGTGTGAGTTACACAGTACTGATAAGTAAAGGAAGTTCAACCAGACAGTTTAATCCTCCAATTTCCTGTCTTCTAATCAGCCACTGACTCCTCTGGCTTTAAATTAGAAACATTCATGGCAATATTCAGGACAGGTGAAGGAAAAAAGAGTAGCAAACAACCGAGACAAATACTTGTAAGCAAGAGGAGGCCACACATAGAAAATGAATACAATGTAAAGTATATATAATGATGCACTGAAGTGTTTAAGCTATACAGAGAATTTAGCGACTCTGATAGAGAAGGAATAATTTTATTAAAAATATTTATACAGCAGCTGAGCAGCATATGAACATACAAGAGTTACTGTATAAAACAAAGGAAATCCATGCTGCAATGTTACACTGTTCACACTTTGTTATTTTTATAGGGGCAGGAGCAGGATAATTATTGCTACATGTATGCCTTTTGATATACCATAAATCATAAGTAAGAAGCAGAAATCAGCAAAGCCACGGACGCTTCAATAACATGTGGGGATTACCATGATAAAGTTGGACTGAAAGTGCGTATAGATACGCTCAGTGATTTAAACAAAAGATACTTTTCTGAGTATTTTGGCAGTGCTAATTAACTTTCCATATGATGAAATTGAATATTTATTAGATGCGCCATCATTGTTATTTTCATTTGCAATGATATTTATAGTGAGGATTCTATTAATTCTTAATTGATGGAAACGCTAGCAACATTTTGACATTTTCATATTTTGTAAAATTGCATTAATTACCTGAGTAATTCCAGCTATTCCTCTGAATAAACAGAAGTGTGGAAGAAAAGTAGTCACCAAAAGCTTCAGTGAAAAAATGCTAAGAACCTTTAAAGTAACTAAATTACCATTTTAAATCTAGGCTGACTATTTTTAATAAATTCTGGTTTCACTCATGGCTTCAACAGAAAATAAAGACATTCACACTGAACTGTGGATTGAGAGCGGGATAGTAAAATTAGAAAATAATTATTTTGGAAATGACTGGAAGATCTGCTTTAACTGTCGCATTCAATAACAGCAGTTTGCTCATACATGGAGTCATTTGAAATGGCTTCTTATTTATTAATGAGGCTTTTTTTTCCCTTCAGATGTTTCACAAAGAGCGCAGTTTGGGGGTTTGAAACTGTTTGGACGGAGATAACTCAAATTATGGGTCCAGGCTGGAATTCAGTTGCTCAGGTGAGCAAACCTGGAGTCGCTCCACTCCTCCCAGTGCAGTCACTTCAGGCTGGTGGCAGCGAAAACCTTGAGCAGAATTTGGCCCAATTTGGGGTCTTTAGTTTTGTTTTGCCATGGAGGATTTTCCCTCCACTATATACCTTTGCTGCACATCTATTTCAATAACCCCATGCAAAGGAATTTTGCAGACAATCCCTCATTAAACATATTATGGTCACATCATACTGGCTTGCTAGAGCAAATAATTAAAAAAAATAATCAGCTTGAAATAAATGTTTATAAAAGTAGCACAGCTGCACATATTTGTTACAAATGCAAGACAGAGTACTGAAACTTTTCTATGACTAACCCTTTAGTGTCTCTATGACAGCAGCAAATTTCAATTGAAAGGGCCAATGAAAACAAAATAATGATCATTTTTCCAACAAATTCACCTCGTTTCTTCAGGCTCTTATATCGGTTAAATTATTTGCTATTTTATATGTATTTTCAAAATAAATATAGCTCCTTCTTACACAAATTTACAGCATTTGGGGAGAATTTTATGCTAAAATGTCACATTACAATATTGACAGAATAATAACTGTTTCTGCATTTACTTGATTAAAGCATAAAAAAGTAGATTAGGTGTAAGAGTGCCTTAAAACAGTGGAGACAAATGCAGTTATTACGGAAATATACAAATCCTACAGCTTCTACTGAAATAGTTTGAAACATTTACAACTGTCTGCAAGAAAGATAAATAACATTTTTTCTTTTACTTTGACCTCTTGCTATTTTGGCAAGTAAGATAAAATATATTAGCCATTCCATCAGATGGCTGGGGAGAAAAACTAGCTGTGATGAGGAAAAACGAATTAAAGGAGCATTAATAAAGATTATCTATGAAAGAAAATAAGGTCAAAATTAGAACTCTGCATTTTAAAGCCACCTTTCAAAATTGCAAGCTGCTTTGCCCAATGCTAAAATCCATTCATTTTACTAATCATGCAATCAACCAATCTCCATTATCTCCAGAGCTGGCTATAAACATGCTATAGACTGGGGTGAAAGAGGGAGAGTGTGAGGTTGAGAGACAGAGAGAGGGAAAGAAAGAAAGGAAGAAAGAAAGAGAGAGAGATTACTACACCCAGCCTTTTATAAAGCCGTTTCTTTCATTATAACAGGTCTTTTCATCCCAGTGACACAGAACCTTTAAATTTGGGCATAATGCTCCAGTACAGTGCAGAGCTATAGCTTCAAATGGATTTAGAACCTGCTCCAGAAAAAAACCCAACTCCCTCGCCTGACACACAAATTGTTTACGATTCATTAAAAAGCAAAATTGCATATCCCAGTGCTGGCAGCTGAGTCCATATGGGTGCAAGGGGTATTCACTCATCTCTTTGTATGCTGGCAGTACCAAACCGAAGTTTAGCACAGTGCAGCTGAGATTTTGTGCAGCCAGACGATGCATGAGGTAATTTTCAAAGCTTTATTTGTCTTTAAAACATTAAAATCTGCTCTCTAGCTTACTTTTGATGAAAAGAATGTGGCAAATGGGATGAGGTTTGGGGGGGGGTAAAGAAAATCTATTTTTGTTGTGTGTTTTAGATTCATTATGTATGAAAAACTGCTTATTACTCCATCAATAATTGAAACTTTGTACGAAAATTATTTGCAATTAACACATCTATTGTAAAGATCTTGAATTATTCACTTCAGCTAAAAATAACATCTCTTATCGACCGCAATTCTACAAAAAAAAGGCTATTTAAGTGATTTTTTTTTTCTGCTAGAAAATAAATGGTGTGACGTTCAAGTTTAAGGAGAACTTTCTGCAATGTTTAATCTAAACAACAGCATGTGTGGTTATAAAACTGTTTATTTTCAGGCAAGTGCATTACTAAATGTTTCCAGGATTTTTACATATTATATTCACAGCACTAAAACATCTGTGAAGTAGATGTGACTGAAATGAAACTTCTTGGACACTTTCTCTAGAGTGCTAATAACTGCCTAGTAACATTTGAGGATACTTATTAAATAATAAACACGGACGTACCTCATCATAAAAAGCAGCCGATAGACAATAAAAGAGGAGTGGTAATAAAATATACAAATGGCTTGGAATAAGGCAAAATCGCAGCATGATATAAATCTTGTGGCCAAAACAGGTACTTGAAAAACTTTGTTTTGAAAACGATAAGTAAAAATCAATAGCCTTATTTACAGGGGTTTAACAAGCTAAAAAAAAAGTCACATGAATAATCAACAGTTTATGTGCATGCAAATACCCCTTCCCCCTCCAACTTCTCCTGGCAGAAAGTCTAATTGGAAAATCAGTACTATAAGTAAAGTGGTTAGCCTTCCCTATTCCCATTAACCAAACACTGCATGTTACATTTCACTGGCAACCGCTGGCAAACCTCTAATAGACGCTTAAAAAATTAAGAGTTTAGACAAAAAAAAAAAACCAAAACGGAAAACCCCGAGCCCAAACACCTTTAAACACAAGCCACATGATATACACAATGGCTACCACCAAGCTGCAGAATAAAAACCTTCCGGATCTCACTTTTAAAAGTCTTTCAAGTCCTCTGAGGTCTTAAACTTTCCAAATGATACCAAAATTGGTCCGGGGCGGCGAGGGGGAGGGAAAGCCCCCGACTTGTTTCAGCGTATCATACAATGAAAGTGATCATGCCTTGTTTTGTAATTCCACTCGCCAGTCCTTTTTTAACTGATATCTATGTGAAATGAGCTGAGGTTCACGGTCCAGTTAGGAGCGGATAATACATTCATTGTCCTGGCAGCAAACTTTTCCTCTCACTGGAAGAATTCACGCTTGCCACAAGAATAATAATTACAGAAAACTAAAAATGCGCTGCTAACGAATTAATCCCTAACGGACAACACGCTAACGAGGGCAGTAATGATTTGAGGACTCTCTTCCTCGCAACAGGACTTGCATCTTCTGCTACAATGGGCTATTGTGCATCCTCCTAACTCACTATACCTCTTATAGATTCAAGATGTCAAAGGTTGTCTGGCCCGGCTGACCATGACATGCTAGTTAACTCGTTCTACGGAGCACGTTGGGACTTTATTGAAACTTTAATTGTGCCCAAAAGCAGCTAGAGCCAGACTATGTGGGATCTGTAACACATGGCTCCAGGTCAGCACAGCCCGGGAACCTGTTCTAACGCAAACAAGCGGAGGGAAAAGTTAGACCGGGGTCTCGGATGAACGGCAGCACCTCGCAAACCGCGCTCCTCTCACACGTGATGATTTTACACCACGCCACGACCGCACCGTTCCAGGCTTTTACAGGGATCGACTCGCTTTGTAACGGACTGAACTTTCCACCTTCCCTTTTTACAAAATACTGCATGGTGAAAAATGCACGCGCACACGGACGCTGGAAAGCAGCAGATAAAATAAAACAAACTGAGCGTTAGGCAGCCGACTGAGACAAGTTACTCTGCACAACAAGGCTTTTTCAAACTACTTCTTTGCATACTTTTTTTTTTTTTTCCCTTAAGGAGAATTGAAAAAGCTTCCCTCTGGAAACTGTAGTGCACATTAACAGTCTCCTGTTACACAGGGGAAAGCACACAAGTGGGACAAGTGTGAGGCTGCTCTACTGAAGAGTGTGAAAAAAATCAAATGTTAATTTGATAAATGTGAGGTCTGGGACATTTTGTCAAAGAGGGAGGGAAAGTAGAAAAGGGAGAAAAAAAAAAGCAGCCCTGCTGCCAACTCACCATCCACCAAGTTCTGGCCGAGATGTCGTAGCAGAGCTGCCATTTGATGGAGCCGTCGGAGGTTTTCCCTGCCATTATGCTGTCAGCAAGCTTCATCTGATGCTAACTCACGGGAGATAAGACACCTAATTGAGAAAACATTTGCACTGGCATGTTGGGCAACATGTAGCCCGGTCCATACCATATGGAATCATGGGTAAAAAAAAAAAATCTCCTTGACAATGAACCAATCTCTCACAGACCCAGTGGCAAGGTGAAGTGGAGATGAAAAGTCATCTGCTCCTAGCACTGTCTTCTCCTCTCTCTCTCTCTCTCTCTCTCCCTCTCTCCCCCCCTCTCACTCACTCTTTTTTTTTTTTTTTAAATAAGAACCCACTGCTCAACATCAAAGAGAGGCGGTCAAAATTAGGGCTTCATCACTCAGATGATTTTGGTCTGCAAGGTTTTTCTTTCCTCTTTTTTATTTTTTAAGAAGAATAAAGAGATTTAATAGGACAAAGGCAGGTAGTGGACTGTGGAGGGAGATCGCCACAGGCTATTAGCCTAAAATTTCTGCTTGACAGATGGAACTGCTTAGAGACTATCATGCAATGTTTTGGGTGTTTTTTTTTTAAAAGACTTTCAGTCTGATTCAGTATCTGTTTATCGCAGCTACTTTTCTCATGTACGTGACTGGGGGGGAAAAGACTGAGCAAAAAAAGAAAAAAGATTGTGTCTTTCTTTCTTTCTTTCATAATTGTGCATATAATAATTTAAGCAGTGAAAGGCAAAACTAAAGTATAAACTGTCCAAGTTAATTTCTTGATCAAGTGATAGACGCTTTCTGATGGAATCGAATGATCTTTCATGGTTTTTGAGACACTCAAGTTTTGACTATTTATTGCTTCTTGATTTTAGCTATTAGATCATATTGTTTAAATGAATGACTTTTCATATGAACGTTCAAAGTGCCCTCTAAGAACTGAACAGTTCCCTTTTAATATGCTTGTAAAATATCATTTTGCTACAACATTTTTTAAAATGTGGTTTTAATGTTACATTTCTTAATCCCATCAGGTGACAGCTGCCAAACTCACAGAGGTTTGTTTCTCTCTCCTGCAAAACTTCTCTGCCACACTCAAAATTTACAGCGAGGAATTGACAGATAACTTGGGAAAAGACAGCCCCAAAACAAACTGCTTTGAAAAGTTATGAAATCATGTTATTGTCTGATATTAAAATCTTTTCCTGCCTAGCAAAGCCAGAGATAATCATAGATTTTCTCATCTCATTTTCCCACTTCTCCTGGTGCACTGTAAACCCAACTGAAGTACTACTTTTGTGACAGCTGACTATTAAGCAGGCAGTGAATGCTTTCCATTTAAATCACCCCGCTGTGTCACACGGAGCGACGGTTGCTCGGCTGTGACCACCACAGTCCCTGACAGGGCACTCCAGCCTATACAGTAGAGCCTTTCCTCAAGTGCTCAAAAAAATGAACTTCTGAACTGGCAAACACACTCTTGCCAGGAATATTTCTTGGGGCTGCGGAGCTATGGCTGATACAACTCGCTCACTAAGAAACAGCTACACTCCGCAAATCTTTTTTGTGATTTAGACACAAGAGGAAAATGTATTAAAAACATCCACTCGATTTTAAACAATATTCGTTTCTGTTTGTATCAGCAAGAGGAGCTCGTGGGTGCACAATTCTTGTTTGGATTATTTTGTGTATCAACTGTTGTTTAATTATTTGGCTATAGCAGAATTGTAATTCTGGGCTGCACAGATTACAGAACTGCCATTCAGTACAGAACAGAACTAACTTTTATTGAGCTTCAATAATACCCTTGCATTTCTGTGATCTCCGAGATGATAAGCAAATGATTTAGTGTAAGCACGAACTGCTAATGTAATATGCAGGGGTTTGGGGTTTTTTGCCCCAAATCTTACAATCTGTTTGGACTAAATATCAGTGAAGATCTATGCTACTACAGAATCCCAGTTTGCACTTCTAGCTCCAGATAACAGGTACAATCCCACTGCTATTTACAGGAAAGGGTCTGACTAGCATGGGAAGTGTTAAGTTTTATTTTGAGACCAGAAAAAAAATATGGACACTGTGCCAGGAACTGTCCTTGCTCTGGCTAGCCAAAGTATTTATTGTCTTCTGTTACTGCAGGTTTGCTAACACTACCTGTCCTTTCAGTCTCACTGATTATTGGGAAAAAAAACTCCCTCTCCAAATAGTCACACAAAATATAAAGCAAAACTCTTAGTAACAATCAGCCTTGAATTGGTGTCAGATTCAATTTTCTGCTGCTCTCTCCGCTCCTATCTCTCAAACCCATCATCTTACCCGCCCTGCTGGTTATTTATTTAGTATTTCATACCCAGTTGTGCTGCATGTCATTCCAGGCAAGTTCTGATAAATCTGTATTCTATATGGGTTTTTAGCACCTGGTGTAATTAGAGATCTACTGACAAACTTTCTCTGGATTGCTGTATTAACCACTTCTTCCTATACCAACATATGATTTTACCTCCCAATATTAATTGTAAACACACCAACTAAATATTTTTTTTAGAACATACACTTTTCAGATTATGAATGACAGAAGCATGAAACCATTTCCTTCCTGACAGTGGAGTGGTTATGTGCAAAGAAATGAGGAGTGCTGTTGGTTAACAGCGTTTTAAATTCAGAACAATTAGGTGCAGTTAACTTTGCCATTGTTCTTTCTGATGCTGGGGATGGTGGGTTCTTACCCGTAGAGCAATTACTCCTTTCATAAGCGGCTGTTGTTAATAGCATTAAAACAAGATTAAATACAACATGTTAAATATTGCAATTATTGTGGAAAATAAAATTATTTGGTGAGCATAATGGGGAGCAAATCAAGCATTTAACATGATCCAGGAAATGCTACTCCAAACAATTGCATTTGTTTTATGCAATTTTTCCCCTTTGATTGCTGACAGATGCCGTTTTGGAAACAAACATCTAAGTAGTTTTCCTTCAATCAGGAAAAAAACCACACACCAGAAAATGGCTACATGTTTTGAATTTAACTCTTGTCAATCAGCATTCTGCACAACACTCCCTGTGAATAGTACTGGGACAAAACGATGCCTTCCAAAGACTAATAAGCAACAAAGATATTTGCTTCTAAATCAGATCTGTTCCGAAGGAAGAAAAGGCTTTGTGTGGCATTGACATTTGTGCAGATACAGCTGCAAAATAAAAATGCTTGCAGTATAGTGTGGTATTTCAAGTTGGAAATAAGTTAGGTGTGTATGTTGCGGGCTACAGGAGATTTGTCTTCTGACAGCTTTAGACCTCAAGCAATGGATTGAAGCACTTGCCAGTTTCTTTCTGACTTCCTACTGGAGAAGTGGCCAACTACCCACAAATAATTTGCTCAATTGTTGAGCAGAGTTACCTGCTGCAGTTCACACAGCACGAGCAGGCCCCTCTGTCTTCCCTTAGCCATAAGTTTGGATGAGGATATTGTTGTTCCTATCAAGTGCATGGAAACAGGAAAGAACGCTAAAAAAAGGCTAATAAAGTATATTGATTCAGATGACTGTATCAAGCTGGCATTTTACAGTCTACTGGAAACCAAATGCATGAGAGCATTAGAAATGTTGGCATAGTGGGTGGTTTCTCCAAATGTTGGCTTCTACTGTTCACATCGGTAAAAGAAACGCAGTAGAACTGCGGGCAGCTCCCAGTGCCAGACACATCTTTAGGATCTCAGACCTCGTTATTAGATTATCTATTACTTGTACAGTACCCATTGCCCATTAACCCTCTCTTTGTTCCCTTTGCCTCCCCCTATTTCTTCAGTTGCAATTGCTCAGAACGTTTTCAGCTCATTGCACCAGTGTGATTTAGCTCTGTTCCTAATTTCGGAGGCGCTTTCCTTGGGAAGCCTCAACTTCGAAGAGTTAGGAGGAGGATTTCCTTATCTCAAACAGCGACAATTAGTTCAAGAGCCACGTGAGAGCAGGCAGTTGATTTTTGGGCAGCCTCTGAACTGATGCAAAGTTGCTGACAAGGAGTGTGCTCTAGCTTTTGGAAATCCTATAATCCTGGCTTCAATCAAGAGGATCTGCTGTTGCTGAAGGCGTAAACAAGGAGAGAAGCAGCATGTGACCACTGCTGCTGCACCTTCAAGGACTCCCAAGCCAAAAGGAGTGCAATGGTAAAGCTTCTACTGGTTGCTTAATGTTACACACACATTTTGGATGCTCTTCCTGAATTCAGGGAAAGTAGTCCTTTGCCCTCTGCAGGAAAAGTTGGGTTTGGACTCTGCATTTCCCCCTGTAGCTCTGTTGTGTGTGTTTCTCCCTGCTCCCCTCTCACTCCTCTGATTTTCTTCCTACCATCTGTATTCCCCTTTTCCCTCATCTGAAACAAGCATCAAGATCTTGTTTCTGACAGAACGGTCTGTCAATATGGAAACACACTGACATCACAGACAGTGCTGTGACTTCATGTCTGAAAGAAACAGGAGGAACAGATGAAAGGACTGAAGGCGAAGGAATGACACATACAAACATTTTTAAAAAATAAGTAGAAATTCTTCTCTATCTACCCAAAATGCAAAGGAACATAAACCAGATTTATTTTTAAGTCTAAATATAACCAACTATTTCCTAATCTGTGACCATAACTCAGTACAACATTTCAACATGCTCTTCACCCATGAGAGGTCCCTGTCCCCCAGGAGCGCACACTTGGCTGGCTCAAGGCCTGTGTGACAGCCAAAATGACCTCAAGAAGGACTGAGCAGGGTCTTAAAAAAAGACAACATCAAGCATGTATTGAGAGAAGCCTTTAGAGGGAAAGGAGGAATCCTGCCCTGGACTAATCTGTACCATCTAAGTAAATGCAAATTCATAGAATTTGAAATGAAAGTATTCTTTGAAATCACAAAGTCAGCTTGGATGCAGCTGGATCAAAGGTACCATTGCCTCAGTGGGGTGGGGCTATAGAACATGCACAGAAAATACTGTGTGTACAGGGGTGGAATACTTTCTATGATTTTTTCTCCTTAGAATTAATATTAACAAAAGGGCATAACCATTATTTCTATTACTAGCACAGGTTTTTTTTTGTAGAAGAATTTGGGACAGGTTAAAAGCCCCACACTTCCTTTACTATTTGAATTATATATTTTGGGTTCCAGCATTAGAGGGCATGCAGAAGATACTGCTTTCCTGCCATCTCCAGAGCTACTGCAACCCCTTAATAAGAAGATTCATAACTAGTAGGAGAAGAGCTCAAGAAAACTAAAAGGTTAATATATTCTAACTAGATGTTGGGTATAGAATGTCAGATCTGTCAAATTTCATTACAGTTTGGTGCTCAATGAAAAAGATTTGATTTCTTTTGCCACTGTCCTACTATGTTCAAGTCACACAGTGCCAGCAGCAACCAGCCAACGACCACAGGCTGGCACTGAGCGGGCCCGAGTGGGAAGCCAGCCGCAAGGACCATCTGTTTCCGATTTCTAGCGAAGCCAAGATGTGCAGTGAAGTGCATTCCATTCACCCAGCCAGCCTTCTCCCTGCTCAAGTTATTAGTGTTACAAGTGAAATTATCTTTTCCAAACAGCGGGGGAGCTATAATCCTTATGGAACAAGGCTTTAAAAAAAGGGAAAAAAAGAGGAGGGGGGAAAATAAAAAGAAAAAATAAAAAGGACAGAAAAAAGGCCCCCCAACACTCCCCCCTCTTCAAACATCTTTTGTCAAAGTTGTCGATGACACTGTTTGTAAATTTAATTGCCATGTTCACGGGTTTTATAATTTTAAAGGATGTTTTATTAAGAACTATATTCTCTTAGGGAAGAATGTGTATGTCAGTTCACGGGCTCTAATGTAATAAACCATTCAAATAAATTTAGAGGGTTATTTATGAATAAAGTTAAAAATGACAAGATGAATGCTCATTTAAGTCTCTCTAACATGAAGTGCCTTGAAAAACATCATAGGTTTAGAAGTATAATTTAAAGTGCGAATGCATAAACAGCGCTAATTACATGCTACTTACATTGTTTCAATATGTAATGCATATGTTTAACCTCGCAGAGGAAGGATTGGTCTTGGCACAGCAATCGTGGGGATTTAAGGGTATGCTAAACTGATAACTGTAGAATGAGCTCTGACACAGGATATTGGTCTCCTACTGTTACCTAAATGCCAGGTGAAACCAAAGGATTTATAGGAGGGCGGGTGAAAAGGGGGAGGGGGAAAGAAAAAAAAAAGGCTACACAATGAAGTGAAACTGAGAAGTTTATTTTCAAAGGGGGAAACATTTATCCTTTGACACCATTCCATTCCGGTGACTTTATTTCTAATATACCATGAGATTAATGATGTGGCTACTGTCACTGTGTCTGATGAACACTGGCAGAGCTGTGGAACAGTTGCTCCCCCTACTATTATTGGACATATTTGTAAATTGGCATCTATATGATGAACTCATTCTGTGTGCCAGCCAATTGGAAAAAATCTTATTCAGGAGGACAGAGTTTTTATTTTCCTATTGAATTCTATATGATAGCCAGTTGGTTTAAGATTGGCTGATAGAATTTTTTTTTAATTAACAATGTTTGATAATTTTCATGTCATATGATAATCTCTATATGACTCTTAGGCAAATCAGTTGTAGATAATTAAAGAAGTAAGTTATCATCAGGAAAAAGATCCCTGACATACCAGAAGTGGGCCAGAAGTATTTAAGTCTTTGCTTAGGGAGGGCACAGTTGCTGAACATTGCCATAATGATTCACTATCCCATCCCAAAAGGATTCATTAATTCTAAAGTAATCCCATTCTAAATGAAAATCCAGAATAGCTTGTTCCATTCATTTTCTTAGTCTCTTTCAATCTATTTTTACAGTCTAAAACTATTTTAATGAGTGGATGATATAACACATAAAATGCAACTGTTGAGTCACCTGAAACCTGATTATGAGATGAGCTTCTTCTTTGGATTTTATTTTTTCCTCTGTATCTTCAGAGGTGCAACTGGACACTGATAATCTCTGTTCCAGGACATTATTTGAGCTATGGCTAAGCTGATATTAACACAAATCATAACCTCATTCCAAATTTTCTGTGTATCCAGAAACATCTGCTATAGCTGCACATGCTGCCCAATTTTAGGATGCCTTGTTTTGCCACGAGTAAAATGTATTTCAGGCTGTCTGGTGCTGTGAGAAATAACCCTTCAAAATCTCCCCATGCAAACTTGCTTCTTTGTAGGTCAGGAAGAGAGGGGTGCAGAAGGACCCAAAGAACTCAAGTGGGAACTGTGGAAATTGCTCCAGCCAGCTTTAATATTTGAGAGCTACAGGGAATGGGAAGAGAGTGAGGTCAGCAGGTGAAAATGCAGAAACTCTGCACATTTCTCTCATGGACTTTGTCAGACACAGGATGCTGAGGGTCAGTGCTTGCTGAGCCCATGGCTATTTGTGCAGGCACAGGGAAGGGTCAGTTGCCAGTTTGTACATAATGCCACAGGACAAGTTTTGGATTCAAAGATTGAAGCCTCATATGCTCTAGGAAACTAATCTCTGATCATTTCCTTTTGCTTTTACTTACTCTTCAGTTTTTGGATAAAGTGGCTCATAGTGGAAAAAAGGATTTTATTGTTAACCAGGAGGGACAGACAAGTCCTCAAATATCTCTGGAATTGCTTTCTTGGACAAGACCTACTGAGTTCAGCAGAGCTGGTGGACTTTCAGGCAGCAGTGCTAAATCAGTGCCTTTTATCATCTACAGCTACATGAAAGACTGAGACTACTCCTTCCTAATGAGAGACTTCTGTAACACTCTCTGCTTAGGGCTATTCTTAAGGAATAAGGAATCCAAGACAGATGTGGCAGTGACCATCATGTTACTCTCAAAGACCAAATCCCTCAAAGCAAAGGAAATATGAACAATTAAAACAATAAATACTCTGAATCATAGGAATTTCCAGTGCCCTCAGTTCTAACTCCAGTTCCACACATTAATTTGTAATTCTTGAGCCATGAATAAGTAAATCCTCTTTTGTTTAGAAAACGAGATTAAAATGCTACTAATATTAAAAACACTCCTGTTTGCTGGCTCATACATCTACTTAAATACCTGCCAATTTCTTTGCTTTACCTCTTGAGTGTCACACTTGTCCTCCTGCTAATACCAGCTGACTGTCAGCCAGCAGGCTGAGCACTGCAGGTAAATACCTAGAGAAGTGCTTTGGCAGGGCTGAGCTCTGTGTAAGCAAATTTTACAAGCAAGTCAGGCATAATCTGTTGAAGTGGCTCTGGATTACTGAATATTTAACAGTAAGATAACACTTCTGTGACTGCAAAGACGTATTTACACTCCTGTGTAATCTATGGCACTGGACATCACATCATGGAAGAGAAAACTGAATGAAGTTCAAAACACATCACTCTAAATCACTCTAAACACCTATTTTTTTTCCCTCCAGTTAACTGATCATAGAGACAAAGGAATTTTGGAGATGAAGTCTGTAGCATGTGTGTCTTCTGGTGGGGCTCCTTATATTTTTTCAAACAGGTTTTAAAAATCTGCACGAATCTTAGCTGATAATAACCAACACACCAAGAAGAGCAAAAATTTTTCAACTAATCAAGTTGAAAATTTGCCATGAGTTGAGAATTTATGAAACTTGATTACTTCACATATTTGAAAATCAAGTCTTATTCAACACATGGTGTATTGCCAGTAAAGAGGATGTTATGTAGAAATTATTTGATTTTGTTTTTGTATCCATTGGAATTCCCATTAAAACAAGACAATATAATAAACATAATTCTTTATGGCCTTGATTCTGAAGACCTGACTTTTTCCTCATGCTAAAGGACTTTCTTTTGCAAAGCTGCCTGACAGATATGAAAGAATTGGTTGACATTCTAGAAAACAGAAGGATGCAGGGATTGCAGTGTCCCTTGATGCAAATCCATCTTTTCCTAATGCAGGGATCCAGCAGTAAGAAGATGACACTTCTGTCTATGAAGGCTCCTATAGAGGGGGTTCGGGGCCAGGAGCATTCCTAGGAGTGGGTAAAACAGGAGGTGGCTCTTTTCCTGCCACCTTACCTGTCCCTTACAGGATTTCCTGCTTCTGTGTGCTGGCAGGAGTTTGCACAAACCCAGAAATGAGTCTGGGGGCTGCTTTTATCTTCATAGGTGTCACTTGAGGAATAGCTGTGAGCTTTTCTCCATGCTTGGGATCAAAGGTGCTCAGTGCTGAAAAGCTCAGGAATGATTTAAAAATGTACTTTGAAGCTTTCCTGGTGGGAACAGCTGGAATGTGTGTCTGTGTTACCAGCTCTAATACTGTGAGCACAAACACAAGCTGAGTCACAGTGGACGACAATGCTGCTGACAAAATGTTTTAAACTGCAAACTAAAACAACAATGGGATTATTTATGGACTGCAACTCTTATTTTAATGTCAATAAATGTACTGGATAAATTCCCCTTCATTAGCTGGAAACCTCAGAAGGAAACAGAAATATTCTGGTAAACCACAAGCTTGTTCTTAGCAAATAGATGGCTGCATTTCCACTGCCAAGGCATAGCCAGACTGTTTCTGCACTGGGATAATAAATCTCTGGGAGTGAAAAACAAAGTCTATAAAAGCAAGACCTCCAAAGTAAGGGTGTGAGACACATGGCCCTCAAGCCTCCAGAGGATGGCATTAGAAAGTATCGAGAGTAGGGGTTTTTTTCCTTTTTATGAATGGAAAACATGTTTTCCAAGATCTACCATTCAACTCAAAACAAATGGTTGGAATGAGTCCCTGTCGCTATGGGAGGTGTTTGCTCTCTTATCTACTGGGCTGCAGACAGCCCAGACAGAGGGAGTTGCTTTGACTGCTGTGTGCTGCAAAATAGAAAAAAAAAAAAAAGAGGAAAAACACAAAAATAATGTGTTACACCCCCCTGATTCCTGAGATGTCTGAGGTGCAGAAGGAGCAGTTCTTTGTAGTATCTGACTCCACAGATATGCATCAGCCCATGGCATACACCAAATAGAGGGTGCTCTAATGCTTTCCATCCAACCTCTGGACACTTCCCTCCTGATGGTCCTGGAGAGAAACAGAGGACCCAGAATTGCCACTGGGGCTCTCCCATCACGGCAGAAATGCCATCGGATCAGCTGAGGTCAGCTTCCCATTCCTTGAGAATGCTTTTCAGAGGCAGACAGAACAAGGCACAACATCTTACAAGTAGTACTGGTGTCTCCTCGTGTTTCTAGAGCGAATAGTTTCATGTCAGGATGGAAAATCCAAACATCACAGTCACAGATTGCCTTTTTGTTCTGCCCCTCAGCACTTATCTGTCTTTACTTTTCCTTTCTAAATCTGTGGTTCAATGTCTTATCCTGCACCTAATGGCTTGTAAGCTATTTCCAAGATGGAAAATGTGGTATTCTCTTATCTGTGCAGCATTTTGTTTATTTATAGCATGACACTAATGACACTTTGAATTTGCTTCTGAGTTTTTTCTTATTGTAAAGACAAGGCACACAAACAATTGTGTCTGGGTCTAAGTACATTCTTAACCCCATTCAATTTATTTCAGATGCTGAGTCCTCAGGAAAAGGGACCAATGACTAATAAATCAGGTGTTTCTTCCTTAACCTACTGGGATCAATAAGAAGCAGGAGAAAAAAGTTCTTGTTTGCATGAGATAACACAGACAAACAGCACCATGTAGTGGGTAAGAGCATATTTCAGGCTCTAACCTTTGCACAGAGGCTCAGCTTTTTGTGAGTAACTTGTATTTCAACAAGACTAAAAACTGTTTGCTAAGAAGGGAATACAGGGGTATGAATATTACTTGCATATTCATGGAAGGCACATAATCCCCTTTTTACTGTAACTGAGTAACTGAGTTGGGCTTCCAAACCCACAGCACCTCAATATGTTCCAAATGAAGCAGAAGGAGAAAGGGGCAAGAGAACTCAGCACCTTTATGTACAGTCCCAGTCAGAAATGGATGGTACTTTGCCTAAAATGCCTAATTTTGTCTTTAAAATAAACAAAAAAAGTCAGATTCCTCCTCGTAACTGCTTCACCTAAGAATATAGTGATCACCTTCCTAAAGGGAGACAACAATCCCTACAGCTTATTTGTGTTGGGAAACCAGTGCTCTGGTGCATCATCCAAACCATTATTCCACAGTGGATTAACCCAGACAATACTTATCAAAAAAGGCACACCACAAATATGAGCCAGGAATACATTACTGGGAAAGCTGCCTGGACCAATGTGAAATTAGAGAAAATGGGCAAGTATTATGTATCAAACAATGCGAAACACTTGCACAGACTATGAACATACATCACTCTAACTGCTTTTATATTAATTTAAACCAAGTAAAAAAATTATGAAAACGAAACTCTGTCTCTCTTCAGAGTCTCATCAGATTGCTTTATTCTCACGGCTCCACAGGAACCCAGTGGCTCTGCACTCATATTCTCCACTCATGCCTCTGCCAGCATCTCCCTGACAGCAGTCACATGTTTCCATCCTCCCTGGGGATGGGACACATTGCAAGTCCCATCCTCTCCCCTCTGCACACCCCCTTGTCCTACTCTTTCTGCACTTCATTATTTCTCAGACCTGCAGTCATCAGTTTCCCCAGTCTAGATCACCTTGCTCAGCACTCTTAGCTGCACTCAGCAGCAACACAAACTTCTCCCATCGGTATTCCCATCTCTCCACAATGCCGTGCTTCTGCTCAGACCTCTCTTGCTCCACAACTGGCCTCTTTTCATTCTCAATGTATTTCTGGTTTCTTTTTCCTCCCACTTCATTCTGTTAACTCCCTCAGCCTGCCCCACTGGAGTTCTCTGGTCATTCCCACACCCACCTCTGTGGCAATCTACAAGTCAGAAAATGCTTGATTCATCCCTCTTAGCTGGGACAATATAACACAAATATATATAGAGACAAACAGAGAAAGCCAGATGTGTTCACTAACCCCTGTGCTTTGTGCCTTCTAACACCCCAGATTATTTGGAGCAGGGATCTTATTAACTCAATTTATACTCCAGCTAACACATAGAGGCCATGAATGGGGATTTGATTTCTGGACAATTTCATTCTATAAAGTAAATTTTATTCTAAATAAATCCCTAGAGAAAAGATACTGGTAAAATCTGTCTTGTTCTAGGATTTAATAACAAATGTACTATTTGGTGCATAATAGGCAATTCATTTTGCTATGCATTTACTCTATTTAAAACATAAAGCACTTAAGGATATTTGGAGTATGCAAGACTATTAGAAAATCAATTTCTATTCTGGTTTATAGCCCAACCACTTAAAGTCTTAATTTGCTACAATTCACTTTCTGATATTCTGACTCGTTAAAGTGGATCAGCTACCTCCTGAACTCTGGTCATATGCTTGCTGGAGCTAAACTATTTAATTATTGTCTACCACATCGACTCTCTCCACTTGCTTATTACCTACATTTATGCATTTACAGCATCAGTCCAGGTTGTTTGCACTTGCTCGAGAACCTGCTGCCTCTTTTGCCGAGGTTTGGAGGAGGGAGGCTTTGGTTTCACTGAGGGCTATCCCATTCCACTTGACAAATAAACAAACAGCAGAGTAACTGGCAGGAAGTCATGTCCCTTTGGTGAGCAGGGCTCCAGCTCATCAGAGGGCAACCCAGGCAGCATCATTTTCACTCCAGCACAAAGTGCCCATTCTTGACTCCTTGACCAAAGGAAGCAAAAGCAGAGGGACAACGAGCACAGCACATCTGCAGGGCTGGGTTTCACAGGAAGTTATGCAGCTCCTCCACAGATAAGTTTCACTGAAGAACAAAGACTGATTCTGTTCAATGCTCCGAGAATGCTGCATTGAACCTGGACTGAGCTTTTCATTCCTTGAAAATGAGGCTCAGAGAGCAAAATCTAATTTCTCCCTCACCCTTGTTTAAATTAGCTGCACGATTTTCATATCAGCCCTCTACTTACCATATGAAAAAAAGCTTAAAAGACACCCACTCCTTCTCTAACTAAGTTTACATGTTTTATGTATTGATTTTAGCAGACTACACACAAGTTGGTGCATCCAAGATAAATGTCAGAGCAACAATGACTAAACCAGTTATGTGAAACTTAGTCTCTGATATAGAGTTGCCTTAAAGCTTAAGAAACAAAATATTTATGACCAAGAGCAAGACAAATGGTGCAATAACACATTAGCAGGCAGTATTGTCACTGATTGCAAACATATTTTGAGCTTACATATTTCATGTACACCCTGACCTCAGAGGCACTCTACCCACTACAATTGGTTTTGCAGCAGCTCAACATTTACCAGGAGATAATGAGGTGTGTTTTTGAACGATACAAGCAGCATTAGATGTAGTGGGAGCCAAAAACATGATCATATTAAAAGCAAATAGCAGAGCAGATTACCTCTTGCCCTCTCTTTTAGCTTGAGCAGCATATTCCAATAAGTGCAGAAGAGACACTGTCAAGTACTTCTTTATAGTTTCATTTTCTTTTTTTTTTTTTTAATCTCCATTGCTTGCAATGCCCTTGCCCCCTTTAAAAGCTGCAGAATAAAATTCCTTTCTCAGTCAATTTTGTACTCTCTCCCTCAGCAAAGAATGGCATGGGATAAAAAAATAAAAGCTCAAAACTTCACCGCCTCTCCAAAAGAAGAAATAGAGATAAAGGTTAAAGATAAGTTTTCATCAAAATTTAAAGGAACCATTAAGTTCAAAAGGTCATCGGACCTGGTCCTATTTATTGCTCATTTCCACTGTGCCCAGCTCTGGGAGAATAGTGGAGCATTTTATAGCAAACCATAGCTAACAGTAAGCATAGCCTTGGAGATTCTGCTCTGCAAGGAGCCCAGTAGGATCTTTTCTCAAAATATTTCTTGGGCAGTTTTGGAGTAGAAGTTTTGAAACGTGAGGAGAACAAGGTAAGAGTGGTCTGGGGGAGGTCCCTGGATCTGAGCAGTATCACTGTGGCAGCTCGGTGATGCATATCCCAAGAATTCCCCTTGGTGGCTGCCTGATCCGGAGTTGGGCTGGGGCTGGAAGCAAAGGCTGTTTGTGCTGGCTCAGGGGCTGGGAGCCCCGTGGGGCAGATGGGATCACCTGGGAAGGTGGGCTGGAGGCTGCTTGTTTACTCTGGCGGGGCACTCCAGAGCTGGAAATCGTCCCCGTGAAGGAGAAAATATCCAGAGTCCCTGAATTTATAGGTTGGCAGCCTCCAATTTGTTTTTTTCCTAACTGGAGTTGAGAAACTGTCTCTTTGTGGTTATTGATAGAAATTTTCCTTCAGTTTCAGGTCTGATAAGATTGTTTCTTCTGTAACTTAAAAATCCTATTTCTGCAGACTGTTATTTAAACACTTGACCCTTGGTGCTGTCTGTCACATACAGGAGCACTCCTTCTGGGTTAACATAGAGATTGAACATGACATTCAGAGTGGTGCACATTTCTGTATTAGACCCACAGCACATGGAAATTATATGTTTAAATTTGACTTAATTGCTTTCTCTCCTCATGTATTGCAAGTCTGTACTAGAGCAGCACAAGGAAGAAAGGTTTCACATCTCCACCTCCCTTCCCACCTCCCAGCCACTACAAGTGATTCAAGTTAATTGCATGACATCACAGCAGTAATTACTCTCCAATAATGGTTTGCTCCCTTGAGTGACAGTGGGCATTTGGGTCAGCAGATGCCATAGTGGCACTGACATAAAAGCTTTGCCTGCATCTTATCTGTCCTTTCTGAAACCTTCACCAAGTTTCCTTCTTTCATTGTTTTCTTTAGGGATCCACAGGGAATCAGCTCAGCTCCTCAGTACACCAAACAAGCTGATTTAGCCAGCCCAAACTCTGATATATTCATTATCAATCCAGAAAGAATCAGAGACTGATTCACAGCATAGCTACAACTCCATTAGAACAGACAAACCCCAGCTGAAGTTATTCTTTCGCCAAAGGAACAGACAGCTGCTATTCAAGTAAAGGTAGCACATCACCTTGAGAAAACTCTTACATAAAATCATATCTTTCTACCTCTGGGAAGAAAGCAGCAACTGGCAGCTGCTCCAAGATGGTACCTTCTGATCCCACCTCTGATCAGTGTGGTGGCCAAAGCAAAGTCAGTGCCTCCTGCTTCCTCCTGTCTCCCTCCAAATTCCCTGGGCAGCCAAACTGCTGTGGATGTGTGAATAGCTCAGCAGCAGCAGCCTGGCTATCAGGTGAAAGAAATTACTGCCACTACATACAGAAAATGCAGTTATGGGAAGATACATGGTTTGGGACAGGGAGCTGCTCCGTAATGCACTCTGGGCAACTGGGCATGGATCTTTTCCTCTCTCCAAGTGTCCACCAAACTGTCCAAAGCTTTGCTGTTTGAGAAGATATGCAACTCAGAATGCACGTCATTCACTGTGTCCAGCAATAAACAAAATATTTAGTGCATTTTTAATGCTATAAAACCTTTTAAAAGACTTTAAAACCGTCCACTGTGGGACAGAATTAGAATTGTTTTGCTATCTGCAACAGTCCTGGCCTCCAATCACATAATTAAGCAATCACAAATTGCAAAATTGGTTTGTTTGGTTCCCACACCACACAAATACTGATAAAAGCTTTTTTGTTTGTCAGTTAGTGCACTGTAACTTACAGGTTGTGGGCTACGCAATTTGGCAAATTTGGAGCTTGAAGACCAC